TCATCATCATCATCATCATCATCATCATCATCATCATCATCATCATCATCATCTCTTTTATCCTTATCTGTTTTGGGGAAGTGATCATTGAGGAACATTCTTCATATAGACCTGGGGAGAAGGCAGGTGGTGGCCATTTCCTTTAGTCTATCATTCACCATACTGTGCCCTACCTTAGTGGCCATCCATTGGAAGCTGGTTGACAGAAAACTGCTAGACTTTTGACATTCAGGGTCTTCATGCCCTAGAACTGCTACATGAAAGTGTTTGAAATACTTGCTATACCCTTACATATATTGTATAGGAATGTCCATCTCAACTCTCTTCTGCAAGGAAATATAGACTTTTTTAGATTTTACACGACTTTTTTGAGTGCCAATGTTGTGATCACATCATGCTAATCACTTAGTGATGGTATTTGTTTCCTAGTAAGAAATATTCAGGTCACATGGAGCCTTTCTAAACAATATAAAAAAACATGGAAGAATTTGTGACAGAGGTCAACTTTATACTGATAATTAACACATGATTTTAATCCATGGTAGATAAACTCTGTTTAAAGTTTTGGTCCTGAGCACCGTTAAAAAGTAAGATTAAAAAAATGAGTGGATTTGCAGGAAAGATGGTCAGTATAATTTCTATTCCTTTTCTCTCTTAACAGATGACTGGATATGGTCAAGATGGGGGATTCAGTGGACCTTTGAAACCCATGACATTTCCTATATCTGAAGGTGAAGAAAAAAATAATCAAGTTATATTTCAGGTAATGACTACTTTTGAGTATTAAGGTGTCTAATTTTAGTGAGCCCTGTGACATAGTGGACCTTGATTTCCTTTACCTAAGAGCACAGCCATGCTTGTCTTCTGTCATTCTTCTATCTATCCTAGACTTGCACTGTTACGTATTGGTGATAGAAAGACAAAAACAACGGAGTATTTGCCCTCAAAGAGCTTATATTAGTTTACATTCTAAATGTACTCATGGGTGCAGCCTATGGAACTCTTCATAAATTTCCATAAAACCAACAAATTTGTCTATATTTACTAATTTTGTTTTTCTTTCCTTCGCAGTTTAAGGCTGATGCTACCGACAAGAAATTTCAGTTAAGTGGTGAAACAGATGACATTTTTTACATCCATCCAGATGGAATACTGTATTATACTGGACTCCTGGATAGAGAAAAGAAAGCTGTCTATGTACTCCAGGTGAGCAGAAACCATGCCTTGGACCACACCCTGATCCTTACCACTTGAAGCATTATAAGCAACTCAATCATTGGTAAAGAATTCTTTTATATTAAACACCAGCTCTTCTGGCCCTGGTGGAGTAGTCTATTAAGACTGATTTCATTTTAAACATATGCAGCCACTTTGTGTGTGCCCTACTATCGAAAAACAGAAGTACCATCTCTCTCAGACTTTCTGACTGAGGGATTCCTATTCTCACGACAAAGTCCTTTACTCCAGAATGCTCATCCAAGTGCAGCAATTTTAGTTACCCTGAGAAATCATCTCTTACTCCCAGACAAAATCAGTCTATTCCTCCCAAAATCCAATCTTTTCTCATACCCCACCTTGGTACAATACCACATCTGTCTAGGTATAGCCCTTGAATACACCAAGGGAGAGTCAATGTTGGGATAAGGAGAGTGCTCAGCAATGTAAGGGGTAGAAAGTACAAGTGAAGAGATGTGGGCAAAACCCACATTTTTTTCCTTCTCTCCCTCTACTGAAAATCTAGGGGGAAAGGGGGCCTGTGAAACTAACCCATGATGGGGGTATGATACAGGGTGAGACAGACAGAATTTCAAACCTGGGGCTCAAAGAACTTCATCTTCTCTTCTCTCTTCTTTCTTTCTTCCTTTCTTCCTTTCTTCTTTCCTCCCTCCCTTCCTTCTTTTCTTTCTTTCTTTCTTTCTTTCTTTCTTTCTTTCTTTCTTTCTTTCTTTCTTTCTTCACTGGCCTAGCTGCCTAGGTCACTTAGCATTTTTGGTATATTGCAAAGAACATGAAAAAGAGAAACTCTGTATATCAACCCCATTTCTAACTCTTAACTAGCTATGTCAGGCCTCTCCTGCATCTCAGTGTTTTCAGGTACAAAATAAAGAAAGACAATCCAGACTTGACCTACTTCTTAGGGTTTCCGTGAGGACCAAATGAGACAACACATGTCAAGCACCCTATACTTTGACGCTTCTGTGTATCTGTGATCGCATTGTTGGGTATAGTCCTTCCAACGTAGATAGCTACCTATTCATGTCCTCTCATTCTGGCTATTTCTTGTCCATTTCCTTCTATATAAATGAAGAGATGTTGAAAATCCATAGAGACCAGTGCAACATTCAAATAGACCACCTGCAATTTAAATTGTTCCTATGGTTCAAAGTCCTTGTGAAAGATGTTGCCATATTGCTGCTGCCGCTACTACTGTTGCTATTACTGCTAATATTGTTACTAGTGCTATTGATGCTACTACTGTTACTACTATTGCCACTTCCACTACCATTACTGTTGCTATTACTCCTACTCTTACTATGTTTTTAGAGAATGCTCCCATAATACCTTGCTCCAAGCGCTACTGTTGCAATAATCCTGGCCAATAAAAATAGTTAAATATCATTATTTATTTTTATTTTGCAGATTCCATTATAGTCAGCATATCACAGTAGTAATCAATCCCAAAATGAAAAATGGGATCTCTACTGCCACAGAAGTTGTAGTTATTTTGATGGAATCCTCAGATTTCATGCTGTTTGACTAGTTTTGACTTCTTTCCTATGATTTCTAGGCATATCACCCCAACTCAAAAGTCTCTTACCTACGTTCCATAGTTATTGAGAGGCTCAAATGTGGCAGCATGTAAAACTCTTTGCAAGCCCTAAAGTGCTATATAAATACTATCATCGTCATTATTGTTAATGTTATTTTAAACATTTCCTTTCAACGTCAGGTAGAAGTCTTGGATGCTGGAGGGAACCGAGTAGAAGGCCCAGTTCCTATCACAATTGAAGTTCTAGATATTAATGACAACCGTCCCGTCTTTCTCCAGAGACAATACAATGGAACTGTAAGGCAAAGTTCACGCCCAGGTAATAGATAGGGACAATGTAAGACCTGGGAAGCCACAAAAATGGAGAAGAGGGGGAGGAAAATTCATTTCAATCAAATTCAGGTGCTGGGCACCATAATGGGTACTAACAGACAAAAACAAAAAAGAGAGAAGTCTCTGCCCTCAAAGAACTTACCTTCTCTTAGATGGTAGGGGATGGAGTGAGGAGCAATGCGTTCATTAATAAGTAAATGCAAAATGTATACAAGATTAATACAAAATAATTTCAGAGGTGAAGGGTCCCTAAAAATTGGAGGAATCAGGGCTGGCGTCCTATAGAATGAGGCCCTTGAGCTGAATCTTAGAGGCAGCTGGGGATTTTAAGCAGTAGAGGCAAGGAGGCTAGGGCCAAAGATGATCTTTAGGTCTGGCATTGTGAACTGCTCAAGCAAACAGTACTCTACTAATTGAGTGCTAATTTTCCCCTTCTGGATGATATTCATAAAAACACCAGCAATATTGTATTTCTATAAGATGTTGCACTATAGCAGCTATTTAGGAAATGCTTGTCAGATGAATGAATGAACCAGCTTTTCAACCTGAGGCTGATGACTTTACATATTTTCTTGTTGGTTTTGCTAAATAGGAAAGCCCTTCATGTATGTCAATGCTACAGACCGGGATGATCCCACCACTCTCCACGCCCAGCTTTTTTATCGAATTGCTGTCCAGCTTCCCAAGATAAACAATGTGATGTATTTTCAGATAAACAACAAAACAGGTGGAATCTCCCTTACTCGAGCAGGTATGTAAAGGATGCAAGCTGTCTTTTTCCTATGCCTCAAAAAAAATTGAGGTGTGAATACTATATAATTGTCCCCCTCCCCCAGGGGTCACAACAAAATCAGCAAAGTGGACACAGTGACAACCTCCTATTGTTTCTCCCCTTTCTCCTTTTACAGGGTCACAGGAATTAGATCCATTTAAGAATGCACGTTATGACCTCGTGGTTTCTGTGATGGACATGGGAGGTCAGGCAGAAAATTCTTTCAGTGATACCGTACCTGTGAATATCGTTGTGGAAGAGAACATTTGGAAGGCACCGGGGACTGTCACCATTAAGGAAAATTCTACTGAGCCTTATCCTATCAAAATTACTCAGGTAATAGTAACAATAGCTAACATTTATATAGCTCTTACTATGTGACAGATACCATGCTAGGTTCTTTACAAACTTTATCACATTTGATCCTTACAACAACCCTGGGAGGTAAGTGTTTTAATGATCCCTATTTTATAGAAGGGCAATTAGAGGTAGTGACTTGCCTAGGGGCTAGTAAGTGTCTGAGGACAGATTTAAACTCAAGCCTTCCTTACTCCTGGCCCAGCACTTTATTCACTATGTCACCCAATAGTTGCAAATATCCCATTAGTTCCCTCTTCTGGTTTTTTTGTGGGGGAAGTGGGGCTGAGCAACGGGGTTAAGTGACTTTACCCAGGGTCACACAGCTAGTAAGTGTCAAGTGTCTGAGGCTGGATTTGAGCTCAAGTTCTCCTGACTCCAGGGCCAGTGCTCTATCCACTGCACCACCTAGCTGCCCCGAGTTCCTTTTTCTCCATATACAGAGGCTTAATCTCCCCCCACCTTGTCATCTTCAATGAAACATGAATTGAGTGTACTTTTGTGTATAGCAAAAAAAAAAAAAAAGAAAGAAAGAAAGAAAAAGAAAAAAGGTAATGCATCAAAGTAAATGAACCACATATTGTCTTTACCCTTTTGGATATTTACACACTATAGCACAGGTGAGCTCTGAGATCCTCATCCCAACTCTCACTCTCACTGATAAGTCAGGTCTGCAGGGCTTCTGAGTTCTAATGAGTATCCCTGAAGAGTTCAGAGGAGGGAATAATTCTCTAATGCCATTGGCTCAAGGCCTTACTGTGTGCTTTCCCCCAAGATTATTAATTGAGAATCAATTGAGCAGCTAAACTTTTAGAAGAGCTTTTTAGAAAATCAAGTAGCTTTTAGAGGTAGGTATTTACTAATATGATGTAGTAATAATAGCTGGACAAAAAAAAATCACCTCCACTGTCCCTAATGTCTGAGACATACTCCCCAAGAATCCAGAGCCCAGGAAAAAGTGTGCTTAAGCTTAGAGAGCACATGTGGCAAAATGGATGGCTCATAGCTCTTGGTTAATGAAAGTCCCTTTCTTCCATTTCATGGAGTGCTCAGGAAGTTCTCTCATGATGAATCTATGTTGAGTTAGTCCTTGGCTCTCAATGCAACTGTTTCCCTGATCTGATCCAGTGATATTGCTAGGATATCAATGGGAGGCTAGAGAATCTAACATCTGTTGCCCTTTTGAAGCTCAAAAGGTCCTCCTCTTACCATAGAGGAGTAGAGAATGAGACTCGACTAAGACCTCTCTCTTCTTCCCTGTTTTTCTCTCCTCCCCTCTTCCCCTTGTGATGCCTCTTCAGAGTGTGCTGGAAAGCCATACTTGTTCCAATTTCTGCCATTCTTAGGACTTGATATTACAGAGGGTAGTGAAACTTCCTAGTCAAACTTCTTATCTGATGTCATTTGACTTGATCAGATGGCTTTCTAAGACTTTCATATTTAGCCTAAAGGGCTATGATTGAGATGGACTGATCATTTGCTTCAAGTAGGATGCAGTTTGATCAAGTGAAATAGCACGTTGCTGAGCTTTATATTCTAACATGGTGGCATTATCTGCACGAGAGCACTCATGCATGTCCATTTCATACAATGCATGCCTGCTGCTGCTTTGTTTTTTTTTTTTTACTACAATTTCAGTTTAGAATTATGTTTTTGTATGCCTGTTGTCTTTGTTTTGGACATGGCACCCTGAACAGGACTCTGATCTTGTCAAGGGATAAGGTCTATAGATAAGACTGACAGAGTAGAATTGTGAAGTGAGCATTTTTTTTTCAAAGTTCTCTCACTTGATTTTTTGTAAGTCTCTCCGTGTTCAAGGTACCAGCATCTATTCTACCTGTCTAGTGTCCTCATGCTGCCCCTGCAGCTACCCAGGATCCCATTATGTGATCCCTCTCCCAGATTTGCCTCCCTTTGGAAGTGATTCATAGTCTCCAAGCTTCAGTCAATGAGTGAAAGGGAGGGGTTAGGATAAGCCAAATAAATCACCAACAATTTGAGTGTTAATGGATATTAATGTGTTACTTGTCTCAGTGGAATTTGCCAGGTAATTGGAGAGAATAAGTTGGTAATAATGACAAAATGAACAATAATTAGTCCAGCAACTCTTTTGAGTAGATGACACACTTCAAGTCTCATGGCTAACAGAGCAGCCTTGCTATTGAATTTTCTTGTCCATTTCAAAAAACCTCCAGAATTTGGCATACACCTTATCCCTAATGTTCTCAAGACTAAACATCTTGGGGGGGGGGTATTTATATTATTTATAGATCTATTAGCTTCTTAAACATCTCCCAGGAGAACAGTTCAAAGTGTCCTCTGGTTTTTTTTATTCATCTTCTGTTTTTGAATTTTGGAAGCTTGTAGTAAGTCAATGCTTCAATCCTTAAATTTTGTCTGTCACAAAGAACATTTCTTCTCTTATATAGATATCAGATGAACATGAATCCTTGAACATCAGTTAGAGTCCCAAGATGAAGGAGTGGGGTGGAGAGGAGACAGGGCAAATATTACATGTTTTAGATAGGTCAGATAGTAATGTTTTGTGAGGGAAAAATGCTTCTGAAAATGCATCCATCCCTGCTTTTGTAACAATTTAACCTTGAAAGGAGAAAACTTTTCTTAAGTCAGTCAACTAACATTTATTAAGTGCCTACTATATATCAGGCAACTGAGCTAAGTGCTGGAACATCTTTAATCGGAAGTTAAATGTTCGATTGCTAGTACACTTGTACACATGTATAGACACACATACATGAGTTGTTAATACACTCAAAGCCAAAACAATACCACAGCTGTTCATTTTTTGAAGAAGCAAAATGATTAGGTAATAAAGAAGTATTTATTACTTGTCCCTGTTATGTACTAAGCAATGTGCTAGATGCTGAGGACACAAAAACAAAGATGAAAACAGTCCCTGCCCTCATGGAGCTTACACTCCATCAGAAGGGACATCACATTCAAATATTCATGTGCACAAAATGAATACAAAATAAAATACAAAGTAAATACAAGGTAGTTCAAGTGGGAGGTCACCAGTGGTTGAAGGGATCAGGAAAACTTGTGTGTAGAAAAATACTTGGCACAACAAAGTTGTAGCGTTTCAGATTTAAGAGGTGAGATAGTGTGATGGAAACAGTGTTTTATTTGGATGGAGTCAGGGAGTTTGGCATTGAGTCCTACCTCTGCTGTTCCGTACCTATGCTACTTTAAACAAGTCACAAGCCCTTCCTGGGCCTCAGCCTTGGGCTAGATGGCCTCTAAGATCCCATACATCTCTAAACTGATGAACCTTTGTTTGCATTTCACAAACTGTCTCTTGTTATTTGGGGGACTCTAGGTGCGGTGGAATGAGCCAGGTGCCCACTACTCCTTAACTGAAAAGGAGGAACTACCTAGATTCCCATTTTCAATTGACCACGATGGAATTATCTATGTGACTCAACCCTTGGATAGAGAAGAAAAGGACTTGGTAAGTAACCTTGAAATGGTCATCAGTGGCAAGACATGGTCTTAGCCAGGTGCACAGATGATAACAACAGTAATTTTTATTAAACAAACATTCTATATCCAATAAACAATTAAGTGACCTATTGGGTGGAGTTTTGGACTTGGAATCAGGAAGATCTAATTTCAATTGCCCATCTTCAAATCTTAAATGATTACAACCTATGTGACCCTGGGAAAGTCACTTAATTTTTCTTAACCTCAGTTTCTTCATCTGTCAAATGAAGATAGTGCCATTGTTGTAAGACTCATCAAGGAAAACATAGGTAAAGTGCTTTGCAAACCTTAAAGTACTATATAAATGCAAGTCCTCCTCCTCTTCTTCCTCCTCCTCCTTCCTATTCTTTCTTCCTCCTCCTCCTTCCTTCTTTTCTTCCTCCTCCTTTTTCTTTCTTCTCTTCTTTTCCTCCTTCTCTTACTCCTTTTTCCTTCTTAACCTCATTCTTCCTGCTCCTCCTCATAGCATGCTATCTACTTTCAACAAGCATGTTTTTTTCTTCAAAACCCAGCCTTTTCATTTCCCCTCCCTATTCTCCATGTCTAAGAAAACAGCAACCAAATGGATAAAAAGAAATAGTCATTTACTTTGCTTTTCAGGGTGAGATGCAGGAATGAATTTTGGATAAATTGTATCCTGACTGTAACTTTCCCATTTCAGTATATCTTCTATGCAGCTGCAAAGGATGACCATGGACTACCCCTAGCAAGACCATTAGAAATTCATGTTGAAGTTACAGACATTAATGACAATCCCCCCATTTGCCCTGCTTCAGAGACAGTATTTGAGGTCCAGGAGAATGAGAAAATAGGTAAGGAATGACTATGTTATTTTCACAAGGAAAATCTAATTCTGTGGTCCCTACTGAGCTATTTGCTGTTCCCACTTACAGTTTCACATCCATGGGGAAAATGGAGTAGTAGAAATGTACTTGTAGTAGGAAATGGAGTAAGATTTTAAATATAGTTGGTCTTTCAGTAACTCTAAAATATTTTTCTTTAAATATTTTAAAATGTTTTTATTGATATCTTTTGATTTTACATCAGCTACATTTCCCTATGTATCCCTCCTTTTTTTCTTTCTTCCAAAGAACAATTCCTTGTTACAAAGACTTATGGGAGAAATATAGTTGAGTAAAATTAACCAAAACATTAAAAAAAAAAATCTGACATTGTATGTAGTGTTCTATACCCATAGTTATCTACTTATGCAAAGAAGGCAGCGAAGTATCACCTCATATCTCTTCTTTGGGACCGAGCTTGGTCATTACAATCTCATAGCATTCAGTTTTGGTTGACTTGTTGTTTCATATTCATTGTTGTAGACATTGTGTATATTGTTTCCCGAGTTCTGCTTATGTCACTTTGAATCAATTTGTATAAGTCTTCCCATGCTTCTCTGTATTAATCATATTTATTGCTTGTTACAGTGCAGTAGTGTTATCTTATATCTATGTATCACAACTTGTTTAGCCATTCCTTAACCAATGGACAACTACTTGGTTTCTAGTTCTTTACTATAAAATATTTCTCTTAATCATAGAATTTCTATCTTGAAAAGAACTTTGAGAGATCATCTGTCAATATCCACTTAAACCATCTTGGATTATTACTTTAACAACATAAAAAAAAGATTCTTGGGAGAAACAAACCCACTCCTTCTCTCTGCTCCTTCCTCTCCCTCCAGCAGCACATTGCACTGTTTCATTAATCCTTCTGAAAAAATGCAGAATGATTCCATTCTCCAAACGAAATTACTGACATTCTACATAGTGGGCTCACCTTCAAGTTCTGAAATGATGCTGGGTTCTGAAGCTGTACACCCTGTAGAAGAAATATTTTCCCACCAATTGACAGAGGACTTATTTACTTTCTGCTTCCCAACTCAGAATCCAAGCAGAAATGTATTTCTGCAGTGAAGAGTAATCCAACAACTTTGTGATAAATTGCTTGTAGACCTGGATTTTAGGGAGTTGTTGGGCTATATAGGTACCACAGCAAGTTGAATTTGTAATCAATTGTTATGGAATGTGAAAACTTTCAATCCACACATTTTTATTGTGTGCCTTTCCTTTTTCTTTAAAAGCAGGGATATTTTTTGGTGAGGGCAGAATAGTCTTGCGTGATTTTAATTTCCTTTCCTTTATATCTGAAGGTCTTTCTCTTGATGGCTAACAGAATTAGTTATTTCTCAAAGGAATTATTTGGCTTAATCACTATATGTTTTGGAATTTGCAGCCTTGGATTTTTTTTCTGGAGGTGATCTATGGATTCTTTTGATTGGTACTTTGTTTTCTGTGTTCAGAAGTTCTGGGAAGTTTTCTTGTATTATTTTTTGCATTATGATGTTCAGATTTTTTGACTTGTCACGTTCTTCTGAGACACCTGTAATCCTAAGTTGTTTCTGTGCATTCAGTCTTTGCAATCAATGTATTTTATTTGTATGGAGAGCAAGCTTTCTTTTAATCTTATTACTTTTTGCTTCTCTTTTTCCAATCATTCAATCAACCAATGTTTATTAAGCTACATGCAAGGTATTGTGCAAAGTGCTGGGAATACAAAAAGAGGCAATATACAGGATAAATAGAAAATAGTTAATGAAGGAAGAAAATACAATTAAGGTCATCTTTCTAGATTGTCCTTCACTTCCACGTTTCACTTCCATTGCATTAGCAATCAGTTATCCTCTCTTTTGAGTCTTTGGTGAGATTTGCCACAACAGATTACAGTTTTTCTATTTTGCCAATTATTTCTGCTATGCCGGCCATAAATTCTACTCTTATAATTATTATTTCTCTTTTAAACCATTTAGTAATATCATTCTGTGGTTCTTTGCTTTCTTCAGAACCAACAGGATCTTCTGCCTCATCAAGTGTTGAATCATTTTCCTTATCTTGCAAGATTTATTTGTAGATGCCTAAAATCTCTTATTAGCTCTGGAGGCCACATTCCTTCTGCTGTTAATGTCTTCCCTATTGGTTCAACTGCTTTTGTTCAAGGTCTTTAAATTTTCTTCCTATCAAGATCTTTGGCAATTTCAACTGTTTCCCTTATTTTTCCCTGTTGTTCACTTTCTGATTCAGTCTCCTCTTGTGGCAGTTTCCGTAGAGGCTGGATCTCAAAGCATCTCAACCTCGTTGCACACTGGTTCACAGTTCAGCAGCCTAAGTCTCTGCTCCAAATGACTTCTGGAGTGACCAAACGCCCCAGCTGAATCCTGGGCTCCTTCCCTCAGGCTTAGGGGAATGCCACACAGCTTCATTACCCCTCCCTCCCACATATTCTGCCCCTATTCCTTTTATTCTTTGACCCAATGACATCAATCACTTTCATGCCACTATTACAGTGCCAGAAAATTTCTACCATTTGGAATTTAGATCTCCATGGCACTGGAGGTGTGAGTCAGCACATAGAATTGTGCTTTATTACAAGGTAGGACACATATCCTGCCTTGTTCCCTCTCTTCTTCCATTCAGGATGAGAATGTTACCACTGGGGCTATCACAGCCTGAGAAAATTTATGCCACTCAAAGTTTGGCTCTCTGAGGCCCTGGGAATCTGCATCGGGGAGGGGTCAGGGTGTAGAGTTGAATCCTGTTGTGGATCAGCTTGTGTGGCTTTGCTGCTGAGATTGTGGTGGACAGTGGGGGAAGAAGTACTGAGTCAGTGCTCATTAGGGGTTAGGAAATAATCCCTAAGGTCTCATGCGTTCTCTGCTGTTAATCCATTGAATTTTTACCTTGTTTGTTTCTTAGTGTCCTTGACTATGGCAACCACTTGAAATTGATTTATTTCTGTTGCAAATTCCTATTTTTGTAGAGGTTTGAGAGGATTAGAGAAAATGTCTGGTCTTCCATCTTGTTGGTCAGTTGATCTGGAAGTCCCAAGCTAATTTTCAGTATTTTTCAAATACATATTGGTTCAATTCAGTTTCACATTTTCTTTGGCATCCAGCATTTTTATAGGTAAAGTAGATTGGTTTTCTGCCCAAGAGACATTCCAACTGAGTCATTGCATCTTTTCTTCTCCACAGGCAGCAATATTGGAGTTTTCCAGGCCTATGACATGGATCAGAAAGACACCGTTAACAGTTTTTTATCTTACACGATTGTGGAGCAGCGTCCCGTGCTTCCAAGTGATGGTCTCTTCCTTATTCAAAATGTCGCTGGAATTATCCAGTTAGCTAAAGGATCCTTAAGAAAGCAAGACCAACCTCAGTATCATCTGAAAGTGCAAGTAGCAGATCCAGGTTAGTGCCTTCTGACCCATAAATCCAGAAGAGAATTCAAAGGGTGTTTCCTGTGTTGACTTCTGGTTGTGGTTGGTTTGTATTCCTTGTCACATTTGCTCTGTGACTTTTTTTTTTAATCACTGAAGGGCTCACAACACAAATGCTATCCTCAGGGCCCAGGAGAGAACGTGAGCAAAAAAAAAATCAGCCGCTTCCCCTTCTGGTCTAGGAGGGCCTTCCTTTGTGAAGAAAGAGGAGAGTTAGGCTTCTCTTTGCTGCCCTATTCTCTTTTTGCAGACCAGTACCAAACTTTAGGGGAGAATTCCCTGGCTTAAATATAGCAGCAGAGGAATTCTCCTCTCCTCAGTATAAACAAGAAGAGCGTTCTCCTCCCTAGGTTTACTGCTGCTGTCTCACCATTTCCCTAATCCAATTCTCCTCCTTACGCCATTAAACTCAACTTGTATAAATGGGAAACATGTATTTATTGTAGTCCTTTCCCAGGTATTGAGTGGAACCTGTTCTGACTATGCCCAACATCCAGAAAACTGAGAGTCAATCAATTTGTCAGTCACCCCAAACACTTTTGTATTTAAAGAGAACTTACAGAAGGTTAACAGTGTGCTAGGCGCCAGAGGAACACAAAATAAGTAAGGGTAAGACAGGCCAACTGAATGCCCGTTGGCAGTAGAGTTCTGTTAGTTTCTGTACCCTTGCAGTCTAGATGTTCCTTAATGATTTGGGCAAAGGGATTTTCAGCAGAGGTTGTAGTTGACATTGCTTTGTTTGATTTTCAGCTTTCAAGACAATCTGTGATGTGACAATAAATGTTATTGATATCAATGATCAAATCCCCATTTTTGAAAAAAACGATGTGAGTATTTGCTGGACCCTACCTTTTTCCTTACTGCCTATGCTTTTTGGAACAAAATGTGGCATGAAGAAACATTCTGAAGCCATGCACACACACACACACACACACACACACACACACACACACACAAGAGAGAATCCAGATATAAAGGCTAACTGTAGTAGAAAACACCAGGAACTCATGCATTCCTTTCAGTGGAAAAATCTAGTGATCATTCTTTTTTGATAAACAGTACAAATACAAATTCAAACTGGGCATGGTGGTACATACTTTTAATCCCAGCTATTGGAGAGGCTGAGGCCAGAAAATCTCTTCAGTTCAAGAGTTATGAATGGTAGTGGGCAATGACTATTGGGCATCTGCACTAAGTTCAGCATCAATATGATGAACCCCAGGAGTGGAAAACTACCAGGTCACCTGGAGAGAGGTAAACCAACCCAATTTAGAAACATAGCAGATCAAAATTCCAATGACATTTGGGCCTGTGGGTAACCCTTCTAATTCCAGCCTAGGGGAGATGGGGAAACCTAGTCTTAAAAAACTGAACTAAACTAAACTGAAACACATTCAAGTACAGCCCCATTCTGCTAAATACTATTATGTCACACAAGGAAAGGTTCTAGTCACTATACTAGAATTTGGATCCAGTTATTTCACAGACTACTTGATAATACAAAAGTCCACCATAAGTAAAGGACAAGAATAATCCCTTGAAGTTTGTTATAGACTTTTGGTCTGTATTGAAATATATAATTTGTCAACATGTTTTAAACAAGTGTGTTTAATGCAAATTAAAATAAGTGGAATAGTCTTGATTGAATTGATTGATCTTTTATAGACCTTGAGTGAAAGAATATCATGTATACAATGGTTAAATAAATGCATTTTGCTTTGAGAATCACTGCAAATCATGGTAAAAAAATTAATTCTTCCTATAGAACATTGGCAGTTTAAGCCCTTTTGCCAATAACAATTATGTGAGAGAGGAAAAAATAAAGAAAAACAATAATCTTATGGCTTAAGATAAAATAAAATATCCATAAAGCAAAGAAGGAAAAACAAATTTAATGCTTCTAGAAAAATATAGATGATCATTTTTATTGTTAGTAGATTTGAAACTTGCTAGTGGTTTTATTCAACATTTCATTTAAATGAATTGATGAAACTTATTACTTAAGAAAACTGTTTAGGAGCTCATTTGGCTGGATTCTGGGGTCATATTTGAACATAATTCTTTAATAAGTGACTGGAAGATCAATCAAACAATTCAACTTATTCATAACTAAAAGGAGTTTTTAAGTTTTTGAGAAGTTTGGGGGTGTTTAGAAGTATAACAGAATTAATTGTAGACTAGGCACAAAGAATACACAAATACAAAATAAATAGAACTTTCAGTCTCATTGAGTGTCCAACCATTTGAGTTCCTTGTTCCTTTGTCTAGCAAATGACAGACTTAGGATTTGGTTTGAGATTCTTAGACTGGGTATCTAGCATTTTTATTTTTATTTTTATTTTTCTACTGCACCATCAGTTACGTTTCTTGTCTTCTGAAACTAGTGAGGCAAGTTTTTCACTTGGGAATTAGTAGACTTATTATAATCCAAAGTCCCCTGATATTTTTATGCTTTTTGGGCCTTTGCTCTTGCCATTCTCTGTGTCTAGAATTCTCCATCCCCATCTCTGCCGATTGAAATCCTACTCAACCCTGAAGAACCAGCTCAAATAATATCTCATTCCTGATCCTCCCTGTCAGAAATGATATTCCCTTCCTAAATTATATCACAACTAGCACTTTGTTTCTCTCATGAACCTATGGTATTGTTTGTTTCATAGTTATTGCAGAGTTATTACATATCCATTTATGTACTGTATTTCCCCTAACAGAGTGTAAGCTCTATATATATTGGGATCATATCAATCATATTTCTATTTCTCCCAGGACCTAGGACACTGCTGTGTAAAATTTGGTACACAATAAATGGTTGTGGAATGAATGAATTAGTGAATAAATGTAGTATCTTTTCTCATGCTTAATATGAGCATTCTCATATCTTTGCCTTTCTTTTTTGTCTAGTATGGCAATCTGACTATTGATGAAAGTGTTGCTGTTGGAACAACAATTCTCACCATCCAGGCTACAGATGGAGATGAACCATTTACTGGGAGTTCCAAAATCCTGTACAGTATTGTTGAGGGGGACCCTGATAGAAAATTTGTGATCGACAGCGATCCCTTCACTAATGCAGGATATGTCAAGATAAATGAGGTGAATGATCCATTTTAGCAGGATTCATTGTCGTTTATTACTAAATAGTTTCATTTGTTTGTTGTACTAAGAGGAAATACAGTGTCATGTAAAGAATGGAGGATTTGGCTTTAGCAGGCCTGAGTTCATAGCCTTCACAGCCTTTAGCAGCCCTGAGTTCTTAGAATTCATGGTTCACAGTATGTGACTACATATGACCATACCCAAATTACTTACCTTCTCTGAGCCTCAGTTTCCTCATCTTTCAAATGGGGATATTAATACTTGCATAACCCACCTTTGCTACAGTGTGTTACGGATCTTAAGGTACTAGATATGTGAGTTGTGATTGTGAAGAACTGTGATTCACATATTGCCAATCAGTATTGCAAAGTCTGAATGTAGATATAAATAATTTTAAGTGTGTGCATAGTAGTGTCCACAAAATCCAAATTTGGATATTATCTACAGTGCTATGCATGAAAAAGGATAGGCATTACCATTAGTTCTGGGTATGGCTTCTCTAACTAGCTAGGGAATGCTGGCTGATGTTTCCCCTTCTGTCTGTTTAATCTACTGGTAGCTAAGGGGAAATTTCAGAACATTCTCTATAGGACAGGATAGACCAGCCCGATGGTTAATTCTCATCGTAAGCCACTGACCTACCAGGGGATCAGATAGTCAAGGACCAAGTTCTGATTGCCTTTGTTAAAGTACCTATAAGTTGGCAGAACCCCACAAGGTAACCTTATTCTTCAGGGCATACAGAAGATATGATGTAACTATATTGAAACAGTGACAATGATCCAAAATGAGACATAGAATTCAGAAAACCAGAAATGAGGGGCCAGGCTCCTAGACACTAAAGGGATAGGAAGCCTCAGTGACCTAGAACCTATATTTATTTTCAATCAACTGGTCCAGAGATGCAGTGCACACCAAGAGTGGGTTGCTAGTTCCTAAAGCAATAACCACTCATTGGTGGATTGTTCTTTTGAGAAGTCTTCTTGCGCTGCCACAAGGCCCAGGCACTGGATGACTAATGAGCCAACCCTTTCAGCCTCATGGTTAGCAAGCTTGATCAGAACTATAGACTTTCTATAGTTGCTGACATTGTTGTGATAAACAAGTCTCTTGACTTCTCTTGAATTTCATTTCCTCATCTTGCAAAATTACTGTTGTGGTTTGTCCTTTGTTTTTGAAGAAGACCAATGACATCATGGGTGATGTCTTCACTTGCAAGTGAATTGGATTTAAATGAAGCAGAGTTGCACGAAGTTGTCAGCCTCACTCTTTCTTCCAGAATCACAGACATCCAGTGGCAGGACAAAAGTCAAGATATCTGACAATGGCCTAGAATGCAATAGATGATCTTGGCATCTTCGATGTCTAACCTAGCTCTAAGCACTCCACAGTACCTGCTTCAGTCACCTTCATGGCCAATAGAACAAATTGTTCTCATCCACTCCTTCCACTGGGGGAAATTTTCACATGCTTGGAGTAGACATCCTCCTGATTCATCCAATCTGGTTTAGCCAATCTGCTGAGATAGTTTACCAGGGTGTGGCTATTGTGCATGCCACAGCTTCTTAAAGCCATAGGTCAGAGTTGAGTGAATCAGGTGGACAACAAAGGTGGATGAGCAGCCCTGCAAAGGACTCAGCAAGCCCTCACACCAGAAGTGTGAACAAACACCTCATACACTCCACCAACCAACCAATATAGAAAAAAGATGACAGTACTGGAAATCATCAATGCACTGAGAGCCAGGGGGCTTACACAGTAGGCATCAGGAGCAGGAAGATGTTATGATCCTTGCGAGTTCGCCCACAAACCTCTTGAAATCTCCCTCTCCCACTAAACCTGCAGAACTATCAATAAGGGCATATCAGGATGCAATGTGTGGTAGAGAATGATGAATTTAGTTTCTGTACTTATTAGCTATGAAACCCTGAACAGATCGCTTAACCTCTCTGAAAACTCAATTTCCTCACCTAAATGGAGGTGATAATAATGTTCAATTTCCCCATTAGTAAAATGGGAACAATAATTGCCTATTTCATAGGGTTATGTTATACTTTGGGCTTTCATTCATTTATTCAATGGGGCAGCTAAGTGGTGCAGTGGATAGAGCTCCAGACCTGGAGTTGGGAAGACCTGAGTTCAAATTTGGGCTCAGATATTTACTAGCTGTGTGACCCTGGGCAAGTCACTGAACCCTGTTTGCCTCAGTTTACTCATCTGTAAAATAAACTGGAGATGGAAATAGCAAACCACTCTAGTATCTCTACTAAGAAAACCCCAAATGGGGTCATGAAGAGCCAGATAAAACTGAAACAACTGAACAACAACAAACACCTACTATGAGCCAGGCACTCCGCTAGGTGTTAGAAATTTGAAGAAAAACACAACAAAATAGTCCCTGCCCTCAAGGAGCTTACATTTTATGGGAGTGGGTGGGGTGGATGGGAAAAACATGTTCAAATAACCAAATACAAAATACTTACCAGAAAAGAAATAATTTGGGGGGCATCTAGTTGGTGCAGTGGATAGAGCACTGGCCCTGGAGTAAGGAGGACCTGAGTTCAAATCTAGCCTCAGACACATAACACTCACTAGTTGTGTGACTCTGGGCAAGTCACCTAACCCCAATTGCCTCAAAAAAAAAATAAATAATTGTGGAGAAGGGGCACTAGCCACTGAGAGATCAGGATAGGTTTCCTACAGGTGGTAAAGCTCATAAAATTTTAAAGTGAAATATAAATGTGTTGCAATTATTATTATAATAATTATCAGTAATCATTTTCCAATGTGTCTGGTTCCTTTTGAGTTTTCATTTTATTTCTCAGGATCATAAGATTTTAAAAGTTGGGTGAAATTTTTTTAAAAGCAATTTTTGTTTTTTGTTTTGTTTTGGTTAGGCAATGGGGTTAAGTGACTTGCCCAAGGTCACACAGGTGGTAAGTGTTATATGTGTCTGAGGTCAGATTTGAACTCAAGTCCTCCTGAATCCAAGGCTGGTGCTCTATCCACTGCACCACCTAGCTGCTCCTAAAAGCAATTTTTGGATGAGATTTGAGAGGGCTTTTAGTCCAGTGTCTGCCTATTTTCAGCCAGCTATGTGTTGTCTATAAAAGCAGTGATCATGCTTTTCATTTTGTCACTTCTCAATTGTGGAAAAAGGTTGACAAATGGCAGAGTATCAGAACCAGAGCAAATTCCTGGAGGACATTGTTTGTCACACCTCTTGGGTGACTCTGGGCCATTAATTATAATGATTGAATTGACCTTTCAAACACCTTGGTGCAGAGCAGGAACAAGACCATAATTTTGCTTTTTATGCAGAACTGAAAACAAAGTCTTCCTACAAGGTCAGGAGAGATTGTCTCTCTAGGCCGCCGTGCCCAGGCTTGTTCTTCACAAAGTCATGCTGATTGTCCCTTGGTGCCCTATCCTCTCAAACTTTTCCAAAGTGTTTTGTGTCACATGTGTGTGTGACTTGTTCCAGTATTTTTCCAGGTGTGGAAGTTAAGCTGACAGGTTCATCTGTTCCAGGATTGATGGGTTTTTTTTTTCTGTTTTAAAAACATAAATCAGAGGTCATGTAACCCTTACCAGAGTTTCTCCTACTCTGATAAGTCTCAAATACAAATTTTATGATTTGCCACATTGTTTTCACATATAAGCATGCCTACTTATAATATAACCTGTTTATTAACAAGGGCAATACCAAAGTTTTCTATTTAAATGGGGACCTGTACCCATTATCTTCCCTCTTCAATCCCAAAAGAAATTCGAAGTACTTTAATTGGCAACCTTTAACAGAGTGGTTCAGAGACAGAAAGGCATAAAGGACCTGTGATTTCATTACCAGGACAGAAGTACTGGTGTGGGAACTACACTTGCTTTGGGTCACACAGCCAGTATGTGCAGGAAGCCAAGCCCAGAATCCTACCCACCATGACTTACTGCCTCTTGACTTGAATGCTGGTAATTAAATCTTATTAAAGTATAACTTTGTTTCATGGGCTTCATTTTCCCTTTAAAATAATTTAAAAAGTTATTTGTGACTTCTTTACCTCATCTGTAAGATGAGAGGCTTAAACTGGGTGACCTCTAAATTCTCTTCCAAGTATGAGTCTATGATCCATAATCCTTCTCCAATGCCTCATTGTGGCACGGAGGCAACCCTAGGTTCTCAAAGGTTATTTCAACAAAACACAATCTCTACTAGGTCCTAATAAGTTGTAAAGGTTTCCATTACTGCCTTAGAGATGAACTGTAGGGTGGCCATCCAAGGGCAAGGCTAGCTAAGTTCAGAGAGATGCAGGGTCATGAATTTTTTGGCAACTCCAAAAGACCATCTAACCAACGTATAGAGAGGTTGCAATCTGTGTTGGTAGGGGGTATACCCATGTCCATGAAATTACAGGTCCCTGAAGTTCACTGGCAATGAGTACTTCTTAAAATAGGTGTTGTTGCTTTTTTTTTTTTTTAAAGTAAGCATGATGTGACTAATCCTGATTGTTACAGTGGGACATGGTGACATGATATACTAACAATGAACTTTTCCCATTTTTCATCTCCTCAACAATCCCTCATGAGTTCGAAATGACATGGTATGGTTCCTGCTTATTAAGTTGTGTCCTAAGGAAATAAATCCCTGAATAACTTGAGAATCTTATATGATAAGTATACTGCTGTGTGATGTTTTTGAGGGGAGCAAGGAGATTATGAATCTTTCTGAGGATAGTCAACTGGAAGAAAATATGAATTAACTTTTTTTTGTTGCTTGTTTCCCAACAGCCTCTTGATTTTGAAATAGTGCCAATATACTATCTTGTGATCAAGGCTGAAAATCCTGAGCCACTTGTGGATAATATACAGTACAATTCAAGTTCCTATGCAAGATTTATTCTTAGGGTGTCAGATGTGAATGAGCCTCCTCTGTTCTCCCAGGCATTGTATGAAGCACAAATATCTGAGGATGCTAAGATAAAGACCAAATTGATTACGGTGAATGCCACTGATCCCGAGGGAGAAGCAATAAGGTAACAAATAGTCCTCCTTTCTCTACGTCACGTTCATTCATTTTAATGAAAGAGACCAAGGAGAAGTTTGGGACTGGGACAAGTCCTCCCATACAAAATAAATAGGCAGAACACCTTCTTTTCGATCTGATCAGATATATTGTGACTAGTTTGATCCATCTGGTGATTTGAATGAATTTTTAAGGAAATTAAATTAGCTGATTGTTTATCACCTAGCAGGTACCTAGATCATGTAGTAAGTAGATTGCTAGACTTGCAATCAGGAAGATCTGAGTTCAAATATGGCCTCATAAAATTACTGGCCAGGTAACCCTGGACAAATTACTTTACTTTAAAATGTCTCAGTTTCCTCATAATATGAGACTCTATTTCCCAGGATTGTTATGAAGATAAAAATAAGATAATATTTGTAAAGAAGTTTACATAAGATAGTAGCGTACATCTTCATAGAATTTTCACATGGGTGATCTATTCCTATCCAGTGAGCATGATTACCCCTGTTATATAGATGAGGACTCATTGGCTAAATAACTTTCCCAAGATCACTCAGGTATGAAGTCGTAGGGTTGGTTCTAAGACCCAGGTCCTAATTTCTAAGTGGCCTTCCCATTATTGCTTATTGTTTCTAACTGTAATACCAAGGACCTTCTATGATGCTCTTATTCTTTGGCCTATCTTCTGCTAATAAGCCCTGGGGTTCATTGACTCTGTCTATTGATTTATTATGTTCACTGTCGTATTCTCTCATCCTGAATTCTTGTTGTAAAGGCATTTTCTTTCCTGAATGTAGTAAAGATGGAGTGATGTTAACAGCCCTGGAATCTGCCAGTTAATCTTGACTAGCTTGTGAATATTTTGCATCTCTTTTTGAACCTTTTTCTCACCTTGTCTCCAGGTTTGGGTCCTACTGACTTTTGGAAGGCATTTTTGCCCTGGCTGAACTTCTAGAAGTCCCTCCCATAGATTTTAGACTGACTAACAACAATCTTCCTTTACTCTCTCCTAAAAGAGTAAATGTCTCTTGGCCCCTTTGCTTTGGCTTTTTAGATGAGCAAGACTCTTTTAGATGAGAAAGTTCCCCTTTCCTTATGTATAAAATAAGACACTTGAATTAAATGGTTACTGAATCTCCTCCTAGCTTGAAATCCAGTGATCCTAAATATTATCATATACATGGAATGTAACCTGGGGTAAAGGGCAACTAGGTGGCACACTGGAGTTGGAGTCAGGAAGACTCATCTTCATAAGTTCAAGTCTGGCCTCAGGCACTTACTTACTATCTGTGTGACCTTGGGCAAGTCACTGAAAACCCTGTCTGCCTCAGTTTCCTCCTATGTAAAATGAGCTGGAGAAGGAACTGGAAAACTACTCCAGTATCTCTGCCAAAAAAACCCCAAATGGGGTCACAAAGAGTCAGACATGACTGAAACAACACAGCAACAAAAAACAACAAACCTGGGGAAAGGCCCTGAAGATTGATTCCTTTATTCACACTTTGCCTAACCTCATAGGGTATTCTGAGACTCAATAGAAGAGAATGGAATGAGAAACTGGGTTTATTGTATGTTTGGAGAATTGAAATATATGTTTTAGGGAACCAATAGAGAGGATTATGTATGTATTTATGTGTGTGTGTGTTTGTGTGTGTATGTTGGTTTAGGGAAGGATTGAAAATACATACACTCTTTTTTGATAAGAAAATCAAATTGAATAAATCTCTAATAATTAGGGATGAAGTCTGTAAACAATTTTGACCTTTTGGATACATGGTGTAAAGTTATGAGCACTGAGCTTAGCATAAGAAGATCTGGGTTCAAAGACCTGGGGCTCGGACTCTTATAGCCACGTGACTTTATCTAAATGTGTTTCCTCGTCTGTAAAATGGGGATAGGTTATGATATTTGCACTCACATAGTTGTGGAGAAAGTACCTTGTAAATAAAAACTATTTAAAAATGTGAGCAGTTATCTGGAGATATTGTTAGATGATGTGCCTTTAAATTCAGAGTCTAAAGTAAACTCTGGGGCCTGGGGCAAGTAATATAAACTGTTCCAGGAGCACAAAGTTTACTTTCATTTAGCAGAGGAGAGGGAAGCAAAGAAATAGAGACTCTGGGACATTGGCCTAAGACAACTGCTGGGGTGGGTGGAGGGGGTGAGGAGTAAAGATTTAGGGAGGAGAAGAGGAGTTCACTCTAGCTGGCTATCTTGTAACTTCCTATTTTAACTACTTAATATTGCTAACTAGGTGCTTAATTTTGTTTTTTTCCTCAATACTACCGCAGGGACTGCCAGTGCTATCGTGCTCTCTAAAGTCAACACCCTGGGCAAAGTCCTAGTTGCCCAGCCCTAGTTAGAATTCTATTTAAATTGTAAACAGTTTAATAGTAAATGACATATAAATGATAGTATCATTTAAAAAATTAATTTCTTTTATGTAAAGTAATATAATGTTTCTTTTACTCCATTTCCTTTGTGAAGTTACTCCCTGAGTGAAGACACCCAAGGCTGGCTGAGAATTGATGGAGTTACTGGTGAGATCTTTACCACGGGACAGTTGGATAGGGAAACTGCAAAGAATTATCGAGTGAAAGTAATAGCTACTGAGAAAGGTGAGCAATTAAAATGTAATATGACTTTTCAGAGATAGATAAATAGCTAGTGGTAAAATGGGCCAACAGAGGCAGAAAGAGTAATTTATTAGCTATTTGGATTAAACATGAATGAATGAAAAAGTATTTATTAAGTGCTTACTAAGTACCAGGCACTGAGCTAAACATTGTGGAAGCAAATACAAAGAACCAAGATAATCCCTGTCCTCAAGGAGCTGACAATCTAATAGCAAAAGGCAACACACAGTGGAAAGAGAGGTGACTTTTTGTCAGGGAAGTCATAGGTCTGGTGAGTGGAATCATAGGGAAGTTGATTGACAAACCCTTTCTAGGAATGATTGCTTTTCTCAGAGCTAGAGGTTCAAAGGAGGTGAGGGGAAGTTTATTTGTTGGCAGAGCATAAAGTTGACCAGCCATGGAGCATCTTGGTGGAAGTGGATTAGGGCTAGATAGAGTGAATAGTCACTTATCAAAAGCCTAGGGTCACAAGGCAGGAGCTGGAGTGCTGTGTAGAAGTTGGAAGTTGGAGCATAGCAAGAGGACCTAAAGATGTCCAGGGATAAAAACTATCCAATGGGAAGCCATTTCAATGCTATATAAGTACTTATTTTATCTTCAACCCAGATCTGCCTTAGTGCAGTGAGAGAGAAGGGAGTTACAGAAAAAAAAGAAAAAGAAAATTTTGGTCTAGGCTCATCTCTTTCTGGGGCTCCCCGTATCTTCTGGATCCTGCTAGAGTAGGAAACCACCTGGCTTTGGAAATACCTGTACTCCCAGCAAATGCTCCCACTAGGGTGGAACATATGTGGAGGTTAGCTAGGTTCTGTGATATTACTCTCATTCCTTTCCCCTCATCATATTTGATATGGCCTAGAGTTTCTCTCAGGGGGAAAGATGATCTGCCACCAATATCACTTCCAGTGACTACCATACTTGGCAGCTGAGGAATGCCGTTGTAGATTTATTTGAACCTCAGTAACACCTCATTCCTTTGCCTTATCACCTGAGGCTTCAATCTTTTATCATCGAAACAGTTGAAAAGAAAATGAAAATTCCAACAATTCAACCTGAAGATTCTTTTTGATATATTGGATAAGAGGTATCCAATTTGCCTATATTTCAGAAAGAAAGAGAAATAAGAACAAAGGAAAAGACTGTGAGGAAATTCCACTGTTGTCCCCCATTCAAATGTTAGCAACAAGAGAAGGACCCAACCACATTTTCTGTCTCAGTTCCCTTGATCTCTCTAGTCAGTCGCCTTATCTGTAAAATGAGGTTAGAATTAAAGACCTCTAAGGTCCCTCCTAATTCTAGACCTACAAGCCTGTTAGACACAGATTACATTAGTCAAGCTAAGTCAGACTTTGCATAAACTAAGTTGTAAATGGCATAACACACATGTATGCTAAAAATGGATCTCACACTCTTGAAAAGTAATAGACCCTTCAAGAATACCACCATGGGCAGCTAGGTGGTACAGTGGATAGAGCACTGGCCCTGGAGTCAGGAGGACCTGAGTTCAAATACAGCCTCAGACACATAACACTTACTAGTTGTGTGACCCTGGGCAAGTCACTTAACTCCATTGCCTAGCCAAAAAACAAACAAACAAAAAACCACTACCATCCTCAAACCTTTCAAAAGAGCAAAATTCCCTTCCCCTGCTACAAACCACATACACAGAAAGCACTTCGAATTGCTCATCACCATTAAAAGAAATACTTTCCAATATATTCAACCTGCCTATTCCTTAATTTCAACCTCAGGTTATGTTTTCTTGAAGCTCAAACTAATTTTGAATGAATTACTGGTAAAAAGGTAATTGGGGAATAAGAATTCTCTAGAAATTTTGAAAGCTGTTTCTTTTTTTTCCCCTTCCTAATATATAAACACATTGCACATATCTCATCCTTGGGATCAAAAAGAATCTTAGGTTAAAATAAATAAAGCAGGCACATATTTAAGGGAATGAAAACTGTGGCTACCGGGGACCTGGGATGCCCCAAATACTCAGGATAAATTGAACCACAGAACAACTTCCTTCTTAAAGACTTGGTTTGGGTCACCAGTGCCTTCTTTTCTTATATATCAACAGTGACTCCAAAACTTCACAATGGCACAATGGTGATGAGAGAGAGAGAAATAGAGACAGACAGAGGGAGAGACAGAGAGAGAAACAGAGAGAGAGAAAGAGAGAGAGAGAGAGAGAGAGAGACAGAGACACAGAGAGACAGAGACAGAGAAAGATCAGGAATCCTAACTCTCAGTCTAGCTACTGAAAATACTAATCACCTTATCCTCTCAGAGGTATTAGACAATGTTCATTAGGTTAAATCAGAAATCCATAGTATCTTTTAAGTTAGAATGATCCTTAGTAGACATTTACTCTCATTTACCCCCAAATCATAAATCTCCTTTATACCATTCATGACAAGGGCTGAACAAACCTTTCCTTGCAGATCTCCTACAATGGGAGGTCACTACCCAGAGGCAGCACAAGGCAGCACTATGCCTTGACTAGGCAGTGGGAGGTCTCTAAGTGATTATCAAGATAAATACATGAAATGGATATTTTGCTGGAATTTCACAAGTTGAGATTATTCAAGTATTTAAATGGATTTGTGATCTCATTGATTCAGAAGTTCCATCCTTTGATCACACTGGAACTCATCCATACCTGAGCAACTCTTAGTCCATAGCCTCCCTTGAGTTCATCACACAAGGTTCATCCAATGCATTGGAGGTCTTTCTTGCCTTCCCCTGACATACAAAGAATAGTTCAATTAATGATTTAAAGTCTATAGGATCCAGCTAAATTGGCACAAATGCTTATTACACCTACCCACAACACAACATAGGGATTAACACTCAACTTTGGCCATATTTATAGTTGCTACCATTGGTGGAAGTGTTGTGAATCTCACCCAAGGTTCAGAAATCCTTGGTTCAAAAATGGCTAATACTAGTCTTTGCCACTTCAGAGGAGTATAAGAATAAAAGAATAAGAAAAATCTTGTTGCTGTTGTTTTCTTTGTTATAGTAAAGTGTTTGTTTGGTTGTTGTCCTTCATTCTCCAAGAGGACCAAAATGACATCACTATGTTAGAGTCAAGTTACAATGCAAAAGACTGTGACTGATCAGACCAATACAAGCTTGGAATGCTCTACCACAGGTCGGGCACAAATAGTCCATGTGAACATTTGGAGTGGGTTCTCTAAATTTGCACATCTCATATTTCTTTTGAGCTATGTCAATTCTTCTTTGCTCATAAAGCACAGCCCCTTCTCTGATGAGGGTATGCCATGCTGGGTGAGTCTGTGCCAGTATCTCCCGTGTCACACAATCAGTTCCAAAGTTCTTGTATTACTTCTTCTGACCATCATGTGAATGCTTGCCCTGAGTTCTCCATAAAGTAGTCTTTTAGGCAAGCATATGTTTGGCATTCAAACAACACGGTCAGCCCATTGTAGTTGTGAAGGCAAAGTATAGGCAAGGAACAATAGAACAAAGGTAGAGAAATCCAGCAAGGAGACCAATACACATTTATTAAATTACTGTGTGCCACATACTATGCTAAGTGCTGGGGCAATGGAGAAGTATAAGAAATCTAGGCTTACTCCTCTAGAATCAGGCAGACATCAGGTAAAAAAAATGAGCAGAAAAAAAATAACTGTGGCCAATTTTTTAGACAAGAAAGAGCCTTCATTCATTCACTTATTCATTCATTCATTTTTGTCATGAGGGAAAATGTAGAAATATAGCATTAACTGCAAATGTTCATCATTTCTCTAGGTGGATCCTATCTGACTTCTTCAGCATATTTTCAATTAACTCTCCTGGATGTGAATGACAACCCTCCTCGGCTAGTGAAAGACTACACTGGCTTCTTCTTCTGCCATCCACTTACTACACTGGGAAGTATCATTTTTCAAGCCACTGATGATGACCAGCAACCACCTTGGGGTCCACAGTTTGATTTCTCCCTTGGCGATGACGGGTTGCAGAATGACTGGGAAATTTCCAAAATCAATGGTGAGTTGTCAAAATCCCATTGATAAGGAGATCTAGTTTATGGGCTGCATTTAGAACTTGGTGAAATATTTGATTGTGTTTTCACAAGCTTGTAGAATTAAACTGAGACTCACTTTCTGCCTGCTGATGGGATATTAGGTTGTTTTGAACTTACATCAACAAGTCCCCACCAGGAGAATGCTTTGAAGGTTAGAAAAATGAAGAATTTTTGGTACAAAAGATATTCTTACATACATAACTTTCTTGACCTCTGATAGAGAGTGAAATGAGCTCATAGAATAGCATCATTGATTACAGTTAGATTGGTGGTTGGTAGTTGTAAAAATAATTTTCATTGACTATTCACTAAAACTTTACCTTATCTTTATTGATACCAATTGTTTTAAATCATTCATTTCTGAATATATCCTGTTTCTTTTTTCCACTTGGTGAGCTTTTCCATGTAGCACATTGGGTGTTTTCCATGCCATATCTGTGAATCAAGGTAGAGGACATCTACAAACATTTTAAAATTCTAGGCAGACAAACTGAAGGGAAAGAATGGGAAGTGAGTTGCCATTACGTCAAGATAGCTCTAAGTAGCAAGTATGAGTTTTGGAAACCTGCTAATTTTATTAAATAAAATAAAGAGAAAAGATTAAAAGAAGAAACTAGAGATGTAAATTTATGCTTAATCTATTCTAGGAGAGGGGCTTTGTGACACAGTGGAAAGAGCACTGTGTTTGGGATCGGAGATCTCGGATCCAAATCCTGTCTCTGATACTCAATATCTGTGTTACTTAACTTCTGGTGCATACTAAAAAAAAGTGATGGGGTTGAACTATCAGGGTTTCTTAACCTGAGGTCTGTGAGATGGTTTTTTTTTAAAGTATTTTCATAACTGTTTTTCAATAGAATTAGTTTCTTTTGTAATCCTATATACAAGGAATCCCCAAAGTCTTAGTGCAGTTTTAGTCTATGAAATTTTAATAACTTTAAGCTATTGTTAATATTTTATAGTATAATTATTGTACAATTATACAATTAATGACATTTAATCAACACATTTGATTATATAATAATGTTTATATTATCAATAATAAAATTAATTTAATGCATTAAATTAATGCATTTTAAAACATTATTCTGGGAAGGGATCCATAGGCTTTACCATGTTGACAAAGGGGTTCAAAAAGTTAAGAACCCTTGGACTAGATGGATCCTGAGATTCCTTCTAATTTTAGATCTATGATCTTAAATAGGATAGTGTTAACAGTAAAATGCGTTAGTCACTTTCCAACCATGAGAATATAGAGGTAACATTTCCCTTTCTGCTTTGGATAATCTAATTCCCATCACAGGTAAGTGTGACCACTCATATCCTCAGTATATAAGCAAAGCCGCAAAAGACGACTTTGAAACCACAACCCCTGATGGGTGTGTTGTTTGCTCAGGTTGTTCATTGATTTGGATCCTACTTCAAAGGTGTGGGAAGTGATCCCAGAACAGAGAGAGTTTAAGGTATTCCTTCATTTAAATCTTTGTCTAATCTGCCCCCTTTGACAGGCACCCATGCTAAACTTTCCACAAAACACACAAATTTTGAAGAAAAGGTGTACGAAGTTTCAGTTAAAATTAATGATAGGGGAAGACCACCTTTAGAAAACACTGTCTCTTTCCCAGGTGAGTTATATCTCAGTTTTTTTTTCCACATTTTGGGGTAATGTTTACTGGTTAGGAATAGCTGCCTGGGAGTCTGTGTCTGCTCTGTCTTCATTTCTCTTTATAGAATTAGTCAGTCAATACATATTTATTAAGCACCTGGTGGGTGGTAGGCACTAGGCTAAGAGCTGGAGATACAAAGAAAGGCAAAAGACAGTTCTTGCCCTCAAAAAGATTACAGACTAATGGTCTAACAGAGAAGACAACAAGCAGAAGGAAGCTGAAAAGCAAAGGAGGAGAAAGCTGGGCATGATGTGGTGCAGGAGATAAGAGAACTGGCCTCAGAGCCAGGAGGTCCTGGGTTAGAGACACTCCTCTAACGGGTGTGGACTGGGAGACTGGGTGAGTATGTTAACCTCTGAGTGCCCCAGGCAACTCCCTAAGACCATAGAACACAGTAGTTCTAGATCTACATTGATGAATAGACTTACTTCATTGGGAGTTCTCTACTCCAGGGAATCCTCAGGTCAGGAAAGAAATGAACAAAAGAAGTACCTTTGTGGGATAGAGGGACAGATAAGGAGAACTCTATAGGCTATATATATATGTATATATACATATATATGTATATGTGTGTGTGTGCGTGTGTGTATGTGTATCTCAAAGGTGTAATTTACTCTGAATGACATTTGATTTGCTTTTCAGTCACTATGTGCAAGTGTGCTGCTGATGGATGGTGCTTCCGGCCAGCGGATTCTCTTCCTGGGATACCCACAGCAGGCATGGCAATTGGCATACTCCTAACAGTTATTTTGGTCATTGGTGAGTGTCCAGTCTTAGTCCTTAGTCTTAGAAGCAGGGGTGACTTGAACTGACACCTAGATCCATATTCCATTACCTATGGTGGTAGCAACTAGAGCAATGGGAGAGGTAAAACTTTGGCTAATTGTCATGAATAAGGCATGTAATAATAGTAGCTAAAGTTTATGTCACATCTTATTATGTTATTTCATTCCATCTCCCAAACAATCTTGTGAATTGTGTGTGTCTGGAATATATTGTTATCCCCATTTTACATATGAAGAAACGGAGGCTGGAAGAGGTTGAACCACTTGACCAAGATCACACAATGAATATGTGGTGAGATTCGGACCCAGATCTCTTGACCCTAAAGCTAATACTCTTTCAAAATACTGAGCCATGATGCCTTATATTGAAGTGGGTCATAGTACCTAGCTTCTTACCTTCTCGTGGCAGATAAACTCAAAATGCTCCAAACAGAACTTGCTTTCTTCCCAACTCGTCCAATCCACCATTTTCCAAACTTCACTATTTCTGACCAGGGCAAGGCTAGCCTTCTAGTCTCCCAGGTTCACAACCTTGGCATTATCCTTAACTGCACATGCTCCCTCACTCTTCATAGCCAGTCATTTGTCTTATCTTGCCATTTCTGTTTCCACATCTCTTGTATCCAAGATCTTCTCACTAGTCACTACTCATATCGCCTTAGTCAGGGCACTTGTTACCTCTCACCTGGGCTTCCTAATTCCTCAGTGGCTTCCTAATTGGTCTCCTTGCCTCAAATCTCTTTCCACTGCAATTCATCCTCAGCACAGTTACTGAAGTGGTTTTTCCTTAAACGTAGGTCTAACCATGTCACTTCCCTACTCAATAAACTCCAGTGGTTCCCTATTATCTCTAGGATAAAATATAAGTGCCTCTGTTTTTAAAGCCTTTCACAACCTGGTTCCCACTTAACTTTCTAGCCTCATTTTACCTTATTCCTCTTCCCATATTCTACAGTCTAGCCAAATGGGCTAGACTCCTCACATATGACAATCCATCTCCCATCTCTGTACCTTACCACTATCTATTCTCCATACCTGTAATGTATTTCCTTCTTATTTCCATCTTTTAGAATTCCTTGTTTTCTTCAAGACTTGACTCAAACACCATTGTACATGAAGCCTTTCTCCTGATACTTCCTGTTGCTTGTGTCCTCCCTCTCCAAAACACTTTATATATTTTTTGCATATTCTATGTGTATGTACATATGTGTATAAACACATATATGCATATATGTTAGTTTTTTTTAGTTGTTTTTCAGTTTTGTCCAAGTCCTGTGATCCCTTTTGGGGTTTTCTTGTCAAAGATACTAGAATGGTTTACCATTTCCTTCTCCAGCTCATTTGACAGATGAGGAAACTGAGGCAAACAGGTTCAGTGACTTGCCCAGGGTCACACAGCTAGTAAGTGTCTGGGGCTAGATTTGAACTCAGGAAGAGGAATATTTCTGACTGCAGGCCTGGCACTCTATCCACTGTACCACCTAGATGCCCTACATGTATATATGTATACATATATATCCATGTTGTCTTCCCTCATGGAATATAAGTTCGTTGAGGGCAAAGACTACTTTTTTCATTATATCCCCAGCTCCTAGAACTATGCTTGGCATATAACAGGTACTTTAAAAATACCTGATGTGGCATAAAGTGGCTCCAGAAAACAAGAAGACAGAACTTTGATGCCTAGTATCAAGTAAAGCTTCCAGAATAGAAGTAGATGGTACAGGCAGTAGTCATATTACCACTGTTGGAATATTCAGAAATTACAAAGCTGCCCCATGGAAATGCCAGTGTCTCTTGGGTAATTCCCTCTATGAGGGTGGTTGTATCCTCAGTCAGTACCTGGCACATAATAGGTGCTGCGTAAATATTTGTTGATTATTAGATCATTGTTGTTTAGAGAAGAGAGGAATTAAACATCTTTTCTTGGTCTTCTTCCTTCAAACTCTATATCATCTCAGATAAGCTCTGTAATATCCCAGAAAGAATCCTGTTTGAGTTTATTTTTCATAGTAGATGACAGGTCCTACTATTTTAATTCTTTTACAGGTTCCCTGGTTCCCAGAAGTCTTTCATAGATAGCTAAATGATATTTTATCTTTTTTTTTAATAAATGATATTTTAGCAGTTCCTTTTTAAAGATAGGTAAATTAAAGCCTGGAGAAGAATAATCTTTCTCTGAATGTAAGCCAGATAAAACAGCTGTTCTAGGAAATGTAGGGACTGATTTAGATGTGGATTTGGTAAAATCTCAGATTGATTCCTTTCAAAGTGATTATAGAGAAAAGGAGGGGCTTAGGTTTCTGCAACACAATACTAATCAGTATTTCTACTCCTCTCCTTACAATCTATACATTCTTCACTTTATAGATAGAGTCGGAGATGGGAGTGGTGTTGAGGATCTGGACCTCTGATTTTACTGGTAGAGGGCATGAAAACTCCCTTCACTGTTACAGATTGGCAACTTGTATAAACTGTATTCTTAGACAGTTTCCTGGGGTACTAAGAGGTTGAGTGACATACAGAATCACGTAGGCAGGACTTAAACCCAATTTATTTTCAACTTAATGCTACATGTATCTCTCTCTCTCTCTCTTTTTTTTTTACATAGTGGTTTACATGTTGTCTCCCCAATTAGACTATGAGCTCCTTGAGGGCAGGGAATATTTATTCTTCTCTTTGAATTTCCAAGTTCTTAACAAGTGCCTAACATCTAGTAGGTACTTAATATTTATTGACCCACTGACCCAAAGGTTCACCCTCTAGCCATTATGATTTGCTATCCCTCTGTCATATTGTCCTGTCTCTCTTTGGCTCATTGATCTATAATAGTTCCCTATTAATTATGGCATCAAGTCCAAGAAGTTCATTCCGCTTTTCTGTAAGACCCTACATAAGGGGATCCCACCTTACCTTACCTCCAACCATGTAGTAAATGCCATTTCTCCCAAGAAAACCCTCCTTTCTAATATGAACCCTCTGTCCTTCTCAGACTGTTCTCCTTAGAACTGTTATCATTGGATCAAGCAGCTCCCTATTACAAGTGACATCAGTTTCAAACTTCTCATGTGGTAATTGCATCTAAGTCTTATTTCATCAATCAGACTCTAAACTCTTTGAGTAGAGAAACCATGTCGTCATATCGTAAACCTAAATTTGGCATCTAGGTTGTACAGTGGACAGAGCACTGAACTTTGGAGTTAGGAAGACTGAGATTGAATTCTGCCTCAAAGGACTGGGTGATCTTGAGCAAATCACTTAATTTCTCTGAGTCCTGAGCAAGTCAGTTACCCCTCTGAGCCTCAGTTTCATCATCTGCAAAATAAGGATACTAATAGCACCTACCTCACATAGTTATTGGGACCCTCAAATAAAATAACACGAGAAGAGCTTTGCAAACCTTAAAGCACTATGTAATGCTAGCTATGATCATTGACTTAGACAGGGGTGGGGAACCTGCAGCCTCAAGGCCATGTATGGCCCTCTAGGTCCTCAAGTGAGGCCCTTTGATAGAATCCAACCTTCACAGAACAAATCCCCTTGATAAAAGGATTTATTTTGTAAAACTTGGACTCAGTCAAAAGGCCACATCCAAGGACCTAGAAGATCACATGTGGCTTCAAGGCCTCAAGTTCCCCATCCCCTGGCTTAGTCCAAAAGGTTCAAGGGCAGCTAGGTGGTGCAGTGGATAGTGCACTGGGTCTGACATCAGGAAGACTCCTCTTTCTAAGTTCAAATATGGCCTCAGACACTTACTAGCTGTGTGACCCTGGGTAAGTCACTTAACCTCGTTTGCCTCCATTTCTTCATCTGTCAAATAAGCTGGAGAAGGAAATGGCAAATCACTCTAGTATCTTTGCCAAGAAAATCCCAAATGGGGTCACAAAGAGTAGGATGTGACTGAAAAAACAACTCAACAACAAAAAGCAGGTTAGAGAGGTTTTTTTTCCCTTTTTAAAAATGAAATAAGCACTCATGAACCATAAAATCCAACTAAAGCCACGTCAACAACTGCAGTTTAAAAACACATAATACATGAGAATAAAAGAGGGATAAAACACAACTTCCCTTCGATTGTCAGAGTCAAGAACTGAAGGAAGTGTGATGTGCCAACAGTCCAAACTCAGGAAAATATTTCAAACCACTTTGTCTTCCCCAAGTCTAATTCTTTGCCATTCATCCATGTATGCAAAGCACCTGACGGGGCTGAGCCAAGGAGTGAATCCTAACAGCTACAACAGCCCCTAGAACAAGCCCAGGATCCCAAAACTTCCATCCCTTAAGCTATTTTTTCCTCATTAAATCCCAAGAAGAGCATGTGTTATTAATATGGATAGTTTATCATATTATAAAAAGACAGGATGGTCTATTGGTTAGAGAGCCTACCTTGAAGCCAGGAGCCTGAGTTCAAGTCTTATCTCTGACCCTTACTGGCTCTGTGACCCTGGATGAATCTTTTAACCTCTCAGTGCTCTAAGTAACTCTCAACAGAGATGTCAAATGTGTGGTCAGCTGGCAATATTCCTGAGTGTGGCCCGAACCCAATGAAAATGTAATTGGGAAATACTTTACAAAATATTTTAAAATAAATTAAAATAAATAAATAAAAATACATTAAAACATAGATCATATCACATTTTAAAACTAAGTCAATATGTCCCAAAAAAGGGATTCTTATGTATGGATTAGTGGCCTCATACCAAAATCGTAAGACTATCCTTTGCTGTTGTTCAGTTCTGTCCAAGTCTTTGTGACTCCATTTAGGGTTTTCTTGGCAGAGATACTGGAGTGATTTACCCTTTCTTTCTCCAACTCATTTTGCAGATGAGGAAACTGAAGCAAACAGGGTTAAGTGACTTACCCAGGCTACTCATGTAGTATGTGTCTGAGGCCAGATTTGAACTCAGGAATATGGGTCTTCCTGACTTCAGGCCCTGCACTCTGTATACTGTGCCACCTAGTTACCCTTTGGTTTCTATCCTACATGTTGATTAATATGAACCTTTTGCAAACACATTAAATGACAGTGTATTTTTTTTATTAGCATCGATTTTACAATGGATTTTTCTCTTTCAGGTGGGATTTTAACAGTTACATTTATCTGTTTGAAGAAAAAGAAGAATCAAAATGAAACCAATTTAGAAAGTGCTCAGTCACCTGAAAACGTACCTCTAAGGACATGATTATCAAGGACAGTTTTTAAGTTTAACTACCACATGTATATTTGCTAGTATGACCTTTTGTTCCACCATTATGTTTTTTGAAAAATGTAAAAACATCAACCAATTTCTGCTCTTTCAGATTTTTAACAGAAATTTCCTCTCACCCAATCTTTAGTTACTTTGAAATGTTATACAGGCACATACTTTCCATTCTTCCATGGCATATGTCTCTTCTATGTCACCCTTAGTTATTTATCCAAGAGTTTGAATGAGCGTTGAGACCCAGGAGGCTTGTACTATAGTGGAAAGAGTACAAGGCTAGGAGTCAGGAAGTGATGGGTCCCCAGCACAAACTGGGCTGTGTGACAATGGGCAAAGCAATTCCCATCCTGACAAAATCACAGATCCTCAAGTATTTATAGTCAGGACCTGGAAACTGCCTTTTGTTTAGTACCATTGCAGAAGAGAAGATGGTATCTCTCTCTTTTTTTTCTTTTGGTACAAGTTCTGCTACAGTATTTCACTGCATAATCGTCACAGTTTTTATGACAATTATTTTTTTTTGCAAAAAAGTGAGGTACAACCATTATGTAAAGCATTTTTTTTAAAAAAATTGTACTGTTATTGCTTAAAAATCATTTATTATTAAACTGTATCACTGGTAGACAAACTGTACAGTTTAGGGAAATATGCAAGTCTTACCATGTCACATGACTTTCTCATGGCAGCTTTTCCTGACTATTTGCTTCCCTTGCACCTAAGGCTCTTCATTGGGTTGAATGACAATAGCTTAATACTAAACAAACCACGCAAGTCTGCTTTTGGAAATATACTGACAATGTCAGTGCGCTGAGAATTCTAGACTGTGGCTTGCAATGTGCAAGAGTGATGCGTATCCATACACCATCGGTGAATACATTGCTGCTCTGTTTACCTTTTAAGGGAATATAGAATTATACCATGAGATGATTATGTGATGAAAGGTTATAAAACAGCTTTGGGACTGACAAGAACACCACAGGGTGCAACAATTATGAAGTGAAACATGGTATTCTGATGTTTCCCATCCACATTTTCTCCATTATGCTTGATGTGATATAAAGTATCCACATCCATGAATTTTCAAGTTTTGCTCTACCAAAACCTCTGGACCTTCTACTTCAGAAGTCTTGGGTATTACCTATCCTCTTTTTTTCTATTTTTATCTTTAAAAAATAAGTTCTTTTGATACTGTTTTTTAAAACATGGAATGGAATGTGATGGAAAATCATTTATTAAGTGCTTACAATGGGAATGCATTTATTAAATGCTTACTATGTGCCAAGAATGGAGTTAAGTGGTGGGGATATCACTAAAAAATTGAAAAGCACCTTGTTTTCGAGAAGCTCACATTCCAACTGGGGTGGGGTGAGGATAACAAATCTTCATCATGTCCCAAGACTCCCACCCCAACAATAGAACCTGCCCTTATAATAAAGGAGTATAGTTAAGCAAAACAAACCAACAAATTAGCTATGGCTGACACCATATACCCTATTTCACACCAGTACTTTACCAGGAAGAAGGAGGTACCTCTCAGCATCCGTCTTTTAGAATGTATGTAACCACCTGTATCTCAATATTATCTCATTTGTATGCAAAGTTTATAATAGAAGGAAAAGAATAAAATTGGGCCTGGGGGGGGAGGTGGAGAAGATTAATCTACCTTGTGTTATCACCTGAATAACAAGAAATTCAGCATCATTAGTTTTTCTTCCCTCAGCACGGCTTGCTAGATTTCCCAGTTTTTAAATGGACTAAACCAGGTATCCTTAACCTGCAACTTTGCTATGTTTTAGCCATGGTGCATGGTGCAGAAGCCTAACAATTAACGTGCCTTTTACAAGCACACCATTACCCTCATGGGCTACTGCTTTCCAACTTTGGATGCTTTTTGTATGTGTATTTTAATAGAGTTTTGGTCTTTTTTTTTTTGCATTGTTACTGTGTTAAAAAAAACAAGAAAAGTGTTGATGTGAAATAAAAGTAAAATTTGACTTTTATGAATTTGTTTCTTTGTTCTTCTACTTCCATTCTTAGATCTTTGAGTTAGTTGTGGAGAGAGAGGTACTTGGAAAGAAAGATAACCAAGATGGTCAATGAATTGACTATGAGCTATCAGTCTCAATTTTTTTTTTCAGAGCAGAAGGTGCCTGGAACAAAAAATTTTTTAAAGTGCCATGATTCCTAGCTAACACAGCCATTAGGCTTCAACTTCCAGTGGCAGATTATTTAAAATTTTTATTTTTAATAAGAGTAAAAAAGTTAACCATCTTTGTACCAAATGACTCTGTTCTTTCTCTCTTTTAGGCTAGTGTTCCTAAAAAGACGAGCTCATTTTGGCCACTTATGTTAGCATCTATACACTTAAATTATTGCTTGCTGCCTGACTGGTCAAGTCTTAACTAAGCAGTCAGAAGAAGGTGAGTCTCCTCCATTACTCCTTGCTGACAGCATTTTCAAAAAGCCTTAAACTCCTCACATCCACAGTTCTTTCACCCCTTGCACACAATCCCTACCACTTGGCCCCATGTTCTAGAGGCTCAAAAGTCTAAAAGCAAGTTGCTTATGAGGTCTGGCTTCCTCCTCAAGGAGTCAATACTTATCGAACATGAGGAATGACTGATTGGCAGCAGTGGTGGGATGCGGGCAGCAAGATGTTACAAAAACTGTGACAAGCATGGTAAAAGTGCTGGGGAGCTCTAGGGAGGAATCCATTTCAATCCAATAAATATTTATTAAGCCCTTCCTATATGCAGACAGGTAGGTGGCCCAGTGGATAGCACTAGGCCTGGTATCAGGAAGACCTGAGTTCAAATTCAGCCTCAGATACTTATTAGCTGGGTGACCCTGGGCAAATCACTTAACCTCTGTTTGCTTTAGTCCACTGGAAAAGCAAATGGCAAGCCACTGCAGTATCTTTGCAAGAAAACCCCATGGATAGTATGGTCCACAAGGTCACAAAGAATAGGACATGACTGAACAACAGTAGCAACATGCAGGCAGCTAGGTAGCTCAATGGATAGAGTGCTGGGCCTGGGGTTAGGAAGACCTGAGTTCAAATCTAGGCTTGGACTCTTACTACAGTGTGACCTTGAGCAAGTCACTTAACTTCTGTTAAGTTGCCTTAATTCACTTGAGAAATATCCTTGCCAAGAAAACTCCATGGACGGTATGGTCCACAGGGTCTCAAAGAGTCAGACGCAAATAAATGACTGAACAATAAGACATGCTAAGCACTGGAAATACAATTAATTAATAAAGAGAAAGACAGTCCCTGCCCTCAAAGAGCTTACAATCTAATGGGAAGAGAAAAACATACAAAAGGAGGCAAGAAAGGAGAGGGAATGGATACCACGGGCTGTCTGGCACATGGGACCATCTCATTTGCTGGAGCTGAAACCAGGCAGAGCTGCAGATACAGATTAAAGTAAGCAAAAGTCCAGTTTCTGCCTTCTATAAAGGAAGACACTAAGAGGAGTTTAGTACTCGACCCTCCAGCCATCCAGTCAGAGGAGAGAAGAGGAAAAGGGAGGTAGAGTCAATCAAGGCTTGTGGTGATGAGATTAGAGGTGATGAGCTTAACCTGAGAGGGGCATCTTATTCCAAGAGTTGAAAACAGGCATATCAGCAGATGCAGAGTGGAGTAGTTTATAGGGAGAAGAGTCCCAAGAGCATATTGTTAGTGTGTGTGTGGGGGGGAGGGGTCCAAGTTTTACAAAACAAATCCTTTTATTAAGTGGATTTATTCTGTGAAGTTTGGATTCATTCAAAGGGCCTCACTTGAGGACCTAGAGGGCCACACGGGGCCTCAAGGCCACAGATTTCCCACCCTTGGTATAGACAATCCATCTGGATAATGGAGTCCTGGAATATTAGAGATGGAAAAAAACATTGAAATGTCATGTTGTTCAGTCATATCTGACTCTTCACAATCCCATTTACTGTTTTCTTGGCAAAGATACTGGAGTGATTTGCTATTTCCTTCTCCAGCCAACAAGGAAACTGAGGCAAATGGAGTCAAGCCCAAAGTCAGGCAACTCATAAGTGTCTGAGGCCAGATTTGAACTCAGGAAGATGAGTCTTCCTGATTCCAGGCCTAGCACTCTATCCACTGTGCTACCTAGCTGCCTCTGCCAGCTAAACTTCCTGTTATGTGTTTTCTCCCTCAATTAGAGTGTGAGCTCCATGAGAATAAAGGCTTTCACTTTTTCTACTCTATTCCTAGCACTTAACACAGTACTTGGCATATAGTAAGTACTTAGTAAATATTCTTTCTTTTTCTTTGTTTCTTTTTCATTCTCTCTTTTTCTTTTTCTTCCTTTCATTTTCTCTTTCTCTTCCTTCCTTCCTTCCTCCCTTTCTTTCCTTCCTTCCTTTCTTTCCTTCCTTCCTTTCTTCCTTCTTTCTCTTTCCTTCTTTCCTTTCTTTTTCTTTCTTTCTTTCTTTCTTTCTTTCTTTCTTTCTTTCTTTCTTTCTTTCTTTCTTTCTTTCTTTCTTTCCTTCTTT